TTTAACCAGTTTAAAACTGAGAGCTGTCAGCTTACCCTGTAAGCTAAAATTTATAATATAGAATACTGTGATATTTAAAAAATTATTGCTACTACAACTCTTGTAGTTTGTTTTTTTTGTAAATCTTTTTACTGATTACTACACCAATGCTCTTAGCACTTGCTTGCTGTGGAAGAGGTAGGTGGGCTGAGAATTTACAGCTCAAAAATGAATCTTAATTCCCTGCACTACTACTGCTCTTCCCTAACAACCTCTGTCCTTAGCTCTGGTCCCTAGTAGTGTACTGCCTATACTGACAAGCTTTCCTGCTTCCTGTCCTTCATTTAAACATACCTGATGTTAAGATCAATGACAATAAATTTTTGCTATGTGGCCCCATGACCTGTAGTTACACCCCTGGACCAGGATTGGCAATAAATAATTACAGGTTCAATTATTGTTATTCGGTCTTACAATAGTAAAAGTGCCTGCTAGGTAGACACGGTTTTAACAGATACTAATCGCAAGCAAGGGTTAAAGACATTAGCTCTAGTGAAAGCTAAAACAGATTGGTCTGCAGAACACAGCAGTAGATGCAAATGTTGCACAAATTGCTTTTGCTGGTGTCCACCCACGTATAAAATAATCCTCTGCCAAAAATTCACTAGATGAGGGATAAGCAATCTCATTTTATGAATTACTAACACCCATCTGTTACACATGCTGGGGTCATTTAAAAGGTGCATCCCCATCTGGCTTACTACAGGCCATGACATTATTAAAATTTCAATGCTTTTATGAAAATCCATCTCTGCTCTGATGCACCAAGGCACTCTTAAAACGTTACTGCAGAGTAGAGGTGGATATAAAAAAAAAGTGAAGAAAAGGAATCTGCCAGGGCAAATATATATGGGAGCTGCTATTGCAGCAAAAATTGTATTCCAGAGGGTCAATCACCAGACACAAAACTGATATTTCATAACAGTGTAGAGTTAAACCACCTAATGGTCTAAATATATTTCAGGGACCAAAGCAGAAAGTTTCAATTTCCAAGTGCACACCAACTATGACTATTATGAGGAGATATATATATATATTTTTTTTTTACATTGGAGAAAATACAACATGCAGGACCACTCAAATCATAATGCATGGAAGAAAAGGTGGTAATTATCATACCTCCCAACTGTCCCTCTTTGGGAGGGAATGTCCCTCTTTCTGCCTCAGTTGTCCCTCTTTTCGGACAAATACGTAGTCCTCTATAACAATGCAACACTTAACTACCAAAAGTATTACACAACACTAAACCTTTCACACAGACTACTATTTTAAAAAGCAAGTATAAAAAGGTAACATATTGATGTAAAAAAAGCACTTGTGGGTTTAGCTAATCATTTTTGATCAGAGGCGTAACTAGAAACCTCAGGGCCACGGTGCAAGAAACCATGCTGAACTGCTGACTTGTAGTTTTCTAGTAATACAATGCCATTATAGAACATGGAGTAGAATATAGTCGTTCCAAATTCAACCATGTTCTATTCAATATTCTATCATGAAAAGTACTTACCTCACCTGTCACGGTCTTCTTGTTGTCCCAGCTGAAAGAAGCTCAAGCAGGCTTAAAAAAAACCACAGTAGCATGGGGGACAGCGGCGGGAACATCGGTCTCTCCGCATCGGCGACCGCTGCGACCCTGGTAGTTCCGCCACTGTTTTTGGTTATTAATCCCTCATGGTCTAGGTAAATGGGGCATGGCAGTGGGTGTGTCCTTTGCCTAACACTTTGTGCTAAACAGTGTCCCTCTTTCCCATCTCAGAAAGTTGGAAGGTATGAACTATGGTGGTAAGCTCTTGGCCCTTTAAGATGAAAATCTTATTTATCAGGTTAATTGGTGGCAAAGGTGTCCAATGTTTTCAGTGCTAAAAAACTGATACCACGACCACTACTGGAGCTATGCAACAGGGTACTGAAAATTCTACTGCTAGACACAATAGGTTACATTTGAGACAATTACTGACAAAAAAAATGCAAATCAGGCTGCCTCATTTAATTGGTTAATCCTCCTCCCAACACTAATGTTTCAGGTTTATGTAGCTGCTTAATCACCCGTGAGCTTTTTTGTAACTAAGTTCCCAGATCTGCGGTGGATTTATTTCAGCCATTACGATATTCTCACTCCCACTGTAAAGTTTTTCAAGGAAACCAATGCTGAGAGACATGTAGAGACTGGTAACCTGTTCTACTGATAATGCTAGCTTCCTGGCTGCCATGCTGAACCCATGGTTTTCAGGAGGAGGTCTGCAATGGCAGATCCCATTATTTTCACATTACGGTTCACCTTTTATTTATTTTCTATTACAGTCAATGCAAAAGTTGGACATGAGACTTCCACATGGGGTGAAATACCTGGGAATTACACAGGGAGACCTCACCCTTGTAATCCCTGCAAGATAAGAATAGTCAGTGAGTGATTCAATACACTAGATGACTACCACAGCCAAATAATTTCTGTTGGGTGAAAACAAACACAACAGCATTACCATTGGTCAAATTCATTATTCGCATGGTGAAAAATACCTGAACTTAAAAGGAGACATTTGGTGAGAGTAACAGAACAGCTGCCTTTGCTGAACTTTTTGAAAAGAATAGCTGTCTAGTGCTGAAGCCCTTGAAGGATGAATCCCCATCCTTGCCAGGGAACTAGTATTCTCAGAAGTCAACAATGGCAGCCCTCATGCTTTATGAATACAGGTTAAAATCTCATCTATGTTCAGTACTGCTCTTGTTTACTGAATAAGCAGAAGAGAAATCAAATGGAACAAAAAGTGAGGATAAATATTGCTTATGTCAGCTTCGAACAGATATGAAAAAACACTGCAAGACATTTCATACAGATTGGTTGGGTACACAGTTTTTTGGGGGGTGTCTTCTACCATACACGATGCAAGGTTTAATTGAGCCAGTTTATTTAAATGAATAGAGCAAATTAGCACATGTCACTCATTAGAAATGCATTAACAATAATGACTTCATGTAAAAGTAATGAATGATGAGCAGTACAAACACAGCAACCAGTAATCATCTTTAACGTCTCACCGTACGGAACTGATGTAAACGGACATCTGATAGGTCATGCACTTTAATTTCCCATATTTATAAAGCACCAATGTATTTGAATATTATATATCATTTAAAAATAGCAAACAGGAGAAAAAAACCCACCATCACCAGCTAAAGAAACTGTTATAACTAGCGATTAGGTCCCATTCACACCAGATGTATAGGGGCTATGCTGGCTGATTTTTCCAACGCAGCCCCAATGCAAGACAAGGCAGTTCACCTTGTCATGGATGGACACTATTTACACCACAGCATTGTAAACACGGTAGTGTGCGCAGAAAAAAGTACGGCATGCAGTACTTTTTTCCAGCGTAGCAGGATACAACGCGGTACCACTGCTTCGCACATCACTGTGCCCCTAGAACTGAAATATCACTTTTCTAGAGAAAAAAAAACAGCTGCTGTGAGATTTACCACAGCGGCTGCTGTAAATGGGCCCTTAATTAGATTCCAGGGCCATTTATCTAGAAAATGCAGAAGAGATGTGTGATTGGCTGCAACAGGAAAAAAAGTGTATTTTCCATAATCATTTCCTATTTTACTCTCTGAAGACTTACATGAGAAAATCCAATAACATTTGTATGCCTCCTTAAAATCTGGTTGCCGTAATAATGGCCAACATAACCGTTCCAGAAATTCAGGCCTGCGCCACTCTTCTGAATGTTTCTATTATCTGTGGTGGACGTGCGCAGCACAGAAGCTGTGATAATGGAAGGCTGCACAATAAATGTGGCCTATGGGAGCACGATTGATATATGGCCCTGTGGAGGTCAATATTTGTCAAACGTCATAGGATAGCTGTACTGGCATCAACTACTTGATGCTACTGAAAGTGTAAAATGAAAAGAAAACAAAAAAGTCCACAAACAAAATGGCAAGAAACATGTAAAGCCTTCCCAATGATTCAGAATAAAAGCAATCACAGCCAAGGGGTGGAGGTGCCTGCTTTGTCTTTCACATTCTATGCAGTGCTAGAACTGCATTCACATTAAACCATAAACAGCTAACATGCAATTAGTCCTGTAGAATTAAATATGCTGGTCCTGCAGTGTCCTGTTCTTTCACCATGAAATATTCATCTCCGGCCTAGTGTGAATGAGAGGACAGGACAGAGAAGACACTTGTTATCCTGACTGATGTTTTAACATTACCATCTCATTGTTCAACATAGGCCTGCAATTCATTACTATGTGCCAGCCAGGCCTGTGCTCAGAGGCATTATATGGACTGATGCTTTGTGTTTTTCAGTACATTCGCTACCAATCTAAAAAAAACACTGAACACAGTTGGCCAGTTGATCCATAACAATGCTGTTTACTGACTACAAGAAGCCACTGCAACCTACATCAAGAAGAGCAATCTGCAAGGACCATCACCTACACCGGATCTACATGAGTATATTGGACAGGTATTACTTTCTTATTACAAAAGGGATAATGCAAGCATAAACCCAAATAAATTCCGCCGGCATCTCAGAGAATACAGGGTAGCTGCCAAGAGCATGTCATTTTTGCCTTGCCAGCTGCTTCCCACCCAGGCACTTCACTGAACCAGGCCTACCAAGGTCAGGGGGGCTGTTATCTCCATTCATCCAACAAGCCATAGTGAGCATGCAGCCTTCCAACAGTGCCCTGTGCTTCCAGATTCAAGACAGGCAATTAAAAGAGGGAGAAGGGGTGGGGGGTGACAATCCCTAGGGAAGGCTGTTTTTTACGATTATATCTAGTGCATAATAAAAACACACAAAAAATATATCAGATTACTTCCTAATTTATAACATGATCTATGTTTTCAATTATTATCCCTGCGATCATTTACATCTAGAGGCTGCTTTATCAGGATGACAGAACAAGTACATGCACATATAAAACTGCAAAGTCACCACCATCAACATTACATACCCATCGTCGACGAGCAACGCACAAAACAATCAGCAGCCAGCTAAAGCAGGGATTCTATTGTAGATGTGAGCAGCAGAAAATCCCAGTAGATAAAGCATAACTGTTCCTGTTGCATCCAGGCAAGAGCAGGGAGAGGCAAGGAAAGTAAGTCACAGCATCAAAGCCATTTCTCATGGACATGCATCAAAGAGGCAGGCTGTATCCCTCGCACAGGAGACATATACAAGAGGAAAAATAGGGAGAATCAAGAGAGGCAGCGATGTTCCATCTTTAGGGGATGAGGAAACATATTCTGGGTCATCGATCACTTTGTAGATCCTTTGCTAAATATCAGAAACATCAATCTTTATTCATTGTATCCTTTTTTTTTTCCCTTCGTAAGCTGGTACTGAAAGACTGCAGCAAGCGATGCAAAGCATTGTGGGATTGGGATGCAGCAGTGAGCAAGGAAGAGATTCGCTGTTTTTTTTTCCCACCCTTACAGCATCAATCAGCTGTTTGAGGAAAGAGTGGGCTAGTGAAAGGGGAGGAGGGGATGGGTGGGTTCAGGAGTGATTACAAGATTAACAGAATGAGCTGAGTCAAGGGACAATAACCACAGAAAAATCAAGACTGGAACGCAGATTTTTAGGCACTGCATGTCATATACAAATAGCTTGGGTAAAAATGCAAGCAAACTATTAAACAGCCTAACATAAAACACATACATGTGACTGACCTGAAGCAGAAATGTCATTGTTTTAATTGCTCTCAGAAGCAAACCAGATCCTTCACATGAGATTTTAATCAACGAGGATTAATCTCTTCTTAACAGCTGCCCCATTGGCAGTGTGCTGATTTCAATGTAATCAAAGTGAGGCAATTGTCAAAAATGGATTATTCTCAAACTATTAAGAGATTCAAAATCTCAAGTGTGATTGAGCTTTTAAAAGGCCGGATTTTAGTTTGTTTTCAGAGCCATGGCCCTAGACCAGCAGATGAGACAGAGGTGTTATATAGTTTACACGTCAATTCTAAATATTTATGTATCACAGAGCTGTAGCTAGTAGTGATGGGCTCGGGCGTGTTCGCAGCTCCACGTGCCGAGCCCGCCAGGAAGCTGACATCGCCCCAGCGCCAATCACAGCTACTGAGACATTATCCCGGTCCGCAGCTGCAGAGATCGGTATATGTCTCAGTGCCTGTGATTGGCGCTGCGGCGCTGTCAGCTTCCTGGCGGGCTCGGCACGTGGAGCTGCGAACACGCCCGAGCCCATCACTAGTAACTAGCTCCTTTTGGCCCGAGGCAGGAACAGAAAATTGTGCCCCCCAACAGACGTGTGCGGTATGTGACTTCAGGTATCCCGCTCCAGAATGGTGGCGCGCATGTGCCGATTGCACTGGTGGCCAAATCCAAAATAGCATAAAAATGTGTTTTGTTTGACGAAACATATGAAAACATTTTCAGTTTCTGTTCATTTTGTCTGAAACTAATTTTTCGTTTTTGCACGTCTAGTAATGTGTGTTTGTGTGTGTGTGTGTGTGTGTGTGTGTGGGGTGGGGGTTAATATTATTTCTTTTTTTTACTGTTGGGGGTCTAAACAGACCTGACATTTCCCTTTTGAAATAGAAAAAGAGATTGAGGACACAGAGTCCTCTGCCCATACAGGTGGGGGAGAGCAGCGGGGTTTCGAGGAGAAGCTAGAGCCTGTGCCACTCCTCTCCCTGCCAAGCCGCGGCTGTGTTGGCCGCCTGGCCAGGGCCGTCTTTAATACTGATTGGACCATGGGCAAACATTTTCAAGGGCCCCCCCCCCCCACACGGGGGGGGGGAGCAACACTATGCAATACCAATCGCACAGTAAACAGAAGGGTGGCGCAGGTGTATCTTTTGCGGACTCAAGGGGACGGGGCCGGTGCAAGGATTATTGTGTACACAGGTGAAGGTGCATTTTTCACCCCCTCTCTCCCTCTCCCCCACCCCCGGTGCCCACAGACGACTGTCTATGCAGCCTTACTAAGGTTTATTGTCCCCCATCATATGTACATGGAAAGCATGTAGTGACCCCATCACATACAGACAAGCAGCATGTAGTGACCCCTCTCTCTGGACGTTGTGTTCCCTAATACACACATGCAGCAGTCAGTACAGACACTCAGGGCCTCCCCATCAGATACCCCCTGTTCATGCTGCCCTGATTCAGGCTCTAGTCCCCTCACCTGGCAGGCTCCCTATACCTTATCCAGGTGCAAAAGCCACCTTTGGCAGCTGCCCTTTGGGCCCCACAACAATAACTGGGCCCTGGGCAGCTGCCCCTTTTGCCCTGCGTTAAAGACGGCCCTGCGCCTGGCGCCCCTGTTGCCAATGGCACCCTGTGCTCGCTATTGGCAATAGGGGCGAGGGGGGCACAGCCAGACAAGCCCTGGCTGTGCCCCTCTCAGCTACCTCTGAGGCGAGTGCCTCACTCACCCCATGGTAGCTACAGCCCTGATGTATCACATAAGAAATATGGGAGCTAAATGAATAAATGAATAATGTCAGTTACGTTTTATAAACATTTACTCAATTATTTACATGTATTGATTTTACAACATTACAATTTAGCAGGTACATTTAAGGGCAAAAAAAATGTTTGCGTCTGTATGTGGGGGGGCGGGGACTTAAAATAAATTTTTGTGTTATTTTAAATTTTTTTTATTTGTGAAAAATGTTAAGCTTCTTTTTTTATGCTTTAATTTTTTTTACACTTAACTATATTGCTATCACATATCCCCTATGTGATAGCCAATTCACATGACAGGTCCTCTTAAGGCTCTGTTCACACTTAGGCGTATCGAATATGCGCGCTTGACGCGCGTTTCCGAGGGCTACTTGGCTGTATCCCAATGGAAATGCGCGACAAAAACGACGCAAAGAAGCTCATGTACCTTTTCAGGCGTAGGCCGTTTTGTAGCGCGTTCAGACGGGCTGAAATACGGAAAGTGTGAACCATACCCATAGAAAACAATGGGATTTTTATGTTTGAGCGTTTTGTAGAGCGTTCATAGAGCATTGAACGCGCTACAAAACGTACAGGTGTGAACCAGGCCTTATGGAGACATCAGGGGTCTCCAAGACTCCTTGCTGACAGTTTCCCCACTTGTGTGCGCGCTGAGTGGAGGGGCAGGACTTCTTAAGACGCCCTCCCGCTCCTATAAGGCTCCCGTCCGGCCGTTCACGAATGGCCATGGACCGAAGGTGGTTAAAAAATGCATTGAAGTACCTTTCCCATTAACAAAAACATATCTTATTTGTGCATCACTGGGATGTAGATCCTCAAATCATCTCTGAATTGGTGCTGACACTGTCCTTCCTTCTGAGGGTGGCTGTATCTGATTGGATGCAACACCCCGAGGCTGCCTGAATACCCGAACATTGACTGTATCTGATTGGATGCAGCACCCGCGGCTGCCTGAATACCCGAACAGTGACTGTATCTGATTGGACGCAGCACCCGCAGCTGTCTGAATACCCAAACAGTGACTGTATCTGATTGGATGCAGCACCCGCGGCTGCCTGAATACCCGAACATTGACTGGGAAAGATTGGATCCAGCACCCGCAGCTGCCTGAATACCCAAACAGTGACTGTATCTGATTGGATGCAGTGGCTGCCTGAATACCCGAACAGTGACTGTATCTGATTGGATGCAGCACCCGCGGCTGCCTGAATACCCGAACATTGACTGTATCTGATTGGATGCAGCACCTATGGCTGACAATGGTTTCAGAGGAAGTGAGGGAAAATCTGTAACAGTAACACAGACAGCAAATACAACTCTGACAGGGGTTCTAGCCTTTCTTACTCTATCTGCGGTGGGAAAAGGGATAATAAAAACAGGCAGCTAAGCCGAGTTTTTATCGCCTCCCTTCCCCACCTTTACCGACCGCCGACCTACACACAGCTATGGACTATCCACATTGTCACATTGTTTTGTTTACGGTACATCGATTTAAACTCAGCATGTCATGTTTAGCAGGCAGTACCTCCTGCCAGTGTATTGTGCATTGTGTATTTCACTCTACTGTACAGAGCGTTGGGATGCCACTACCAATGAATAGCACCACAACTCACTGCAGATAGAACAGCTGCTTTTCTGTGCGTTGCAGAAATGCTTGCTGTCACAATGTGTAAATGTGAATGGGCGCTAAAAGTTTTCAACTTGCAAGTTCATATAGGCCTGGCTCAGAGATAATGGAAAGCATATACTGCATATCAGGGGAGGACTGACAACACATGGGAACAGTAGAAAGGCATCATGGCACACTCACAAACCAGCATGTAAAACAACTTGTCTCACCACTAAGGACAATGACAGAGGTTTGGATATACATGTGCTCCAAGATGGAGACTCTCATAGTTTAGAGTTAGGACCGCACTATAAGAGGTGCCTTGGCGCGGCAGTGCGGCTTACACATCCTTTGCAGAAGACGTGTATCCAAACCTCTGTTATTGACCTTAGTGGTGAGACAAGTTGTTTTACATGCTGGTTTGTGAGTGTGCCATGATGCCTTTCTACTGTTCTACTGTTCAAAGCCCATTTCGTGTGCACCTTACTGTATAACTGGTAACAAATTGTTGAGTGCGTTTGTCGTTTGTTTTGCTTGACAACACATGGGGCCACCGGGCAATACAAGATTATGAGGCCCCCTTGTGCTCCGCCCATATACAAGCCCCAACTGCATAAACATTCTTGTGTTACAGAAATCTTTTCTCCACGCTGTTTTCAAAATAGTGGGCCAATTCACTAAAAGATTATTTGCCAGGGAACTGGTAGGAGACTTTTAAAATCTAGACCAATATAGGCAATTTGGAAAGTGAGCTAAATGGCAGAATGCACGGCGGACCTCACACCAGTACCACTGCATGGCAGACCTCTGACCAGCGCCAATACACGACAGACCTCAGACCAGAATTAATAAACTGCAGACTGGGCAGTTAGAATGACACATGCACAACATCTCTGGGATCGGCCATCACACACAGTCTGATCCCCGTGGGACGTAACCTGCACACACGCATTAACGGGCAGCTCTTTCTATGCCAACACACAGGTAAGTGCTCACCTTCAGCAGGTCCAGTGTGTGGGTGCAGCAGATGTGGAGGGTTCCACCACGGTCAGATGTGAAGGGTCTCACCATGGGCAGATGTGGAGGGTCTCACCAGGGGCAGACGCAAAGGTCTCACCGGGGGCACATGTGGAGGGTCTAAGCAGTGGCAGATGCGGGCACCATTCCTCCAGTGGGGGGGCCAGGACCGGATCTCAGTGGGGCCCCCTAGTCGCAGGCCCTTGTGCAGTCACACCGGCAGTAATCCGTGTTCTTTTCGCTGCTCCCACACTAGTAAATTAAGTTATGTTAAAGCGACAACGGCAGAGTCTGGTGGGCCCAGGAGGCAGGGGACACTGCCGTTGCCACTTTCACATTGCTGTATCTCCTAGTTTGGCAGCGGCGC